AAATCTAAGTTAAAATGTGGGAAAATTATAAGGTCATGATATTTCTTTAATGGGATATTTTTATTATTTTGTTCTTGTACATGTTGCATTTAAATTAGTTGATAAATTTACTGGTACTCCTTGCTTGACTGTATTTAGACAACAGCACTAGAGAAAATAATACTAGAACATCCCTAGCAGACTTTAATAATAAACTTCTAGGGGCTGGGGATTTAGCTCAGCGGCATAAGCACCTGCCTTGCAAGCAGGCAGTCGTGAGTTTGATCCCTGGTACCGATAAAAACGAAAAAGACCAAAAAAAAAATAATAATAATAAACTTTTATAAAATGATTCTTCTTAAGTGAAATCTAGCTCAGACTTAGAAAATACACATGCCTATAATAAAACATGGGACTCCTTCCACCATTTAAAAGGCACTATGCTGGTGGCTATTCTTTAAGACTTAGAGAAGTTTCACTGAGACAGACTGTTTTCTTAGTCTCCATTTCATTAATTTGTGCTCTCATCTTTATAATTTTCTTCTTTGTACAAGCTAAAAAATTTTTTTTTTTGGTACTGGGGATCAAACTCAAGAACTTGTGCTTGTCAGACAGGAGCTTGTATCCTCAGTCTCTAAAAAATTTTTTTTTCCTAAAAATTTTTTAAAAAGCTTCCTTCATACAGTTGAAAATAAGCAAAAGTTAGATAAGTGGGGTCTCACAGATCAATGAAAGAACATATACAAAGCAAAGCAAACAAGTGCCAGGCAAACAATGTCTTTAAAAAGGGGTCCTTGTTAGCATTTCTCCCTTGAAATACTAAGAAAGAATCCAAAACACCTTTCAAACCTGTCTTAAAATACAGGATTTATAGAAAACTCTAAAACTAGTCAAGATCACAATTAGTCTATGGATCTCAACCCAAGCTACACTTCCCTTTTTTGGATGGCTCTGGAATCATGCATGCATATATCAGTGGTCATAACATGGTGAGGAGTGGTTGGGAGGAGCAGTATGCTACTTTCATTCTGTGCTAGGTCTTAACAATGCTAAGTGTCCTGAATTTTCTCAGGCGTGTATAGAGGGGAATCCCATACAAAGAAAGCAATAGTGAAAATGACAACGGTAACCCATTGAGAATGAGTTTCTTAGATATTATGAGCATAATTTTTGTTATGGCAAATAGTTTATAGTTAATTTTTTTGGTGGTACTAGGAACTGAACCCAAGGCACTGTAACTAAGCTACATCCCCGGTCATTTTTTGTTTTTTGTTTTTTTTTTTTGAGGCAAGGTTTATGTAATGCAGACTGGCCTTGAACTTGCTTATGTAGTTCAGTTGGCCTCAAATTCATGGTGACCCTTTTCCTGCAGCCTCCTAAATGCTGGCATTACAGGTGTAATCCAGCATTTACACCACACCCAGTCCCAGTCATTTAAGAAATTTTTTTTAAATTTTAAAATGGGGCTGGTGGGGCTGGGGATTTAGCTCAGCGGCATAAGCACCTGCCTTGAAAGCAGGCAGTCATGAGTTCGATCCCCGGTACCGATAAAAAGGAAAAAGACAAAAAAAAAAAAATAAATAAAATAAATAAATAAATAAATAAAATGGGGCTGGAGACATAGCTCGACAGCACAGCACCTGCTTAGTAAGCATAAGGTCCTGAGCTTGATTCCTGGTACCCACAAAAAAAATTTTTTGAGATAGAGTCTTGTTAAATTGCCCAGGCTCAAACTTTTGATTTTCTTGCCTTGCCTTCCCCAAATACAGGGATTACAGGCATATGCCACTGTGCCTAGCTATAGCAATCCTCCTGCCTCAGGTTCCCAAATTGGTAGTACTAGAAGTGTGTGCCACTGTACTCAGCTTTTTTTTTTTTGCCGGTACCGGGTGTACTCAGCTTGTTATAACAAAATTTATAATGAACAGATTTTTATGGGCTAAATAATAGTATATGCTATATCTTGTAAGATACAATTATTTGATTATTTTGGTGCATCCAGCTTAAACAAGACGTGTAAAAGCCAAGTTTGGTGGTGTGTGCCTAGAAATCCTAGCACTCTGGGAGCTTGAGGTAATAGGATTGCAATTTTGAGCCCAACCTAGACAATTTAAGAATTTAGTGAGACCCTGCCTCAAAGAATTGAAAGGGACTAGGGATATATTTCAATATAACAGTCTTGAGTCTAATCCTCAATACCATAAAATAAAAGATGTATAAAATCTTCACAGTTTACTCTGCTTGTTAATACTTATTTTCCTTGTTCCTGAAATAAGAAGGCTGATGTGGGGCTTCCCTGAATCATAGGAATGTAGGGTACCACACACACACAGTGCTCAACCCCCAATTATTTCATTGTTATTTATCTCTTATAAACTGCCTCATAAGACTGTAGTTTTTCTATAATTAAAGTTCCCAATCATACCCCTACCCACAAGGCCTCATAAAACAGGAGATACCACTATATACTAAGATCAAGACAAATTACAGCTCCTGACAGTTGAAAAGGTTCAGATGTGGAGCAATGTGGATTTCAGATTTTCAAAATTATAGATGACCTACTGGTGAAGTCTATGAAAAATCTGAAAAATTCCAAAATCTGAAACATTCCTGGTCCCAACCATTTCAGATAAAGGATACTCAACTGTACCTGATAAGGAACTTATATCTACAACATATAAAGAATGCTCATGATTCAATAATAAGAAGACAATAAAAATAGAAACTGCATTTGAATAAAGATTTATCCAAAGAAGACATACAAATGGCTAATAAGCCATGAAAAGATAATCAACGTAACTAATCATTAGGGAAATGCAAATCAAAACCACAATGAGATGCTACTTCACATATCTATTAAGATATCTATTAGAATGGCTATTACCTAAAACACAGCCGGTCACGGTGGCGCAGGCCTGTAATCTCAGCACTTTGGGAGGCTGAGGCAGGAGGATCACTGCATGTTCAAGACCAGTCTGGGTACAAAGTGAGCTCAAGACCAGCTTTTTTGTTTGTTTGTTTCAAAAAGACAAAAACAAAACAAAACAAAGCACACAATAGTGTTAGTGCAGATATAAAGAAATTTGAAACACACATGGTACAGATAGAAACACACATGGCAGAGCCACTTTCGAAAATTGGCATCTCGGGGGCTGGAGATTTAGCTCAGCGGCATAAGTGCCTGCCTTGCAAGCAGGCAGTTGTGAGTTCGATCCCTGGTACCGGTAAAAACAAAAAAGACAAAAAAAAAAGGAAAATTGTCATCTCCTCAAAATGTTAAACATAGAGTTACCACACAACTTAACAATTCTACTCCTTAGTATAGAGAAATTAAAATATATGTCCCAACCAAAAATGTACATGTATTCATGACAGCCAAAAAGTAGAAACAACCCAAATGCCCAACACTGATGAACTGAATGAACAAAGCATGGTACATATAGACTTAAAGAACATTATTCAGTATAAAAATGAGGTACTAGCCAGCTACAGTGATGCATGCATGGAATTCCAGCACTCGGGAGGCTGAACCTGAAGGATTGCCAAACATTCGAGACTAGCCTGGGCTACACAGTGAATTCAAGAACTACCTGAACTATGTAGCAAAACCCAAAAAGAAAAATGAAGTACTAATACATGCTACAATATGAATGAAGCTTGAAAATATTATGCTAAGTGAATAAAACCAGACACAAACGACCACATGTTTTATAATTCCATGCACACGAAAAGTCAAAATACATAAATCTATGAGATATAAAGTAAATGAGTATTGCCAGTGGATGAGACTAAGGGTTGGGAGTGACTGCTAATTCAGCTGGGATTTCTTTTGGTTATAATGAAAATGTTCTAAAACTGCTGATGGTTATACAACTCTGAATACACTAAAACCCATGAAACTGTATATTTTGTGTGTGTGTATGTGTGGCACTGGGGATCAAATACCAGGGACATTTTACATCCTCAGCCCTTTTTTTAGGGGGCGCACTGGGAATGGAACTCAGGACCTCACACTTGCCAGGCAGGTGCTACACCACTGAGCTAAATCCAAGTACCCCTTCAGTATTTTTTATACCTTTATTTCTTGAATTTTCAAACAGGGTCTCACTAATTTGCCCAGGCTGGCCCTGAACTTTCAATCTTCCTGTCTTAGCCTCAGGAGCAGCTGGGACTGCAGGCATGTGCCACTTACATGAGTAACTTTCAGCATGTGACTTATATATACAATAATAAAGCTGTTGCAAAAAAGGAAGAGGTCCCCAAGTAATTTTTTTTTCCTTTTTTGTGATATTGAGGATTGAACTCAAAGCCTCACATATGCCAGTAAGTTGTACTGCTGAGCTATAGCCCCAGCTCCTAAAGAACTTTTGTTAATGCTGGTTATGTCTATCAATATTTGCCATGTTAGAAATGATAAGTGAGGGGCTGGGGACTTAGCTCAGCAGCATAAGCGCCTGCCTTGCAAGCAGGCAGTCGTGAGTTCGATCCCTGGTACCGATAAAAACAAACAAACAAAAAAAAAAGAAATGATAAGTGAGAGGTATGGCTCAGTGGTAAAGCACTTCCCAAACATTTTGAGGTCCTAGGTTTGATCCATAATACCATGAAATAATTAATTAAAAAAGAAATTAAAAGGGAGAAAGCTGTTGGAAGTGGTAGTGTACGCATGTAATTCCAGGCCAAGGCAGGCAAATGGTACATTCTAGCCCAGCTGGGGACTGTAACATGTTGTCTCAAAATAAAAAAATAAAGCTGAAGCCAGGTGTGGTAGCACATGTCTGTAGTACCAGAATTTGGGAGTCTGAGATAGGAGGATCACTGTGAGTTCAAGGCCAGCCCGGGCTACATAATGAGTTCAAGGCCAGCCTGAACTATGTAATGATGACCTGTCTTAAAAAAAAAAAAAACAACCCACATAAATAATAAAAATAAAAACTGAGAGGTGGGTGTGGTGGTACATTTCTGTAATCCCAGCATCGAGGAAACTGAGGCAAGAGGATCTTTGGAAGTTTCACACCAACCTGGGCTACAAAGTGAATCCAATGCCAGCCTGAACTGCACGGAGAGACCCTGTCTCAAAAAGACATAAATAAATTAATTAACTAAATTAAATAAAAATTAAAAATAAAAGGGCTAGAAATGTAGCTTGGTACTAAATAAAGTTCTGGGTTTAATACTCAGAACCAAAAAAAGAAATTTGGTAAAAAATATTAATTTACTTAAACAAAAAACCTATTGCATGTTAACATAAATAAAACACATTTTATGAAAAATAACTCTATTGACAAAATTCAAAAATTTAGTGGCTCAATAAAAGACATCTGGAGCTGGGCCTGGTGGTGCAGGCCAGGAATTCCAGTAGTCTGGGAGACTGAGACAGGAGGACAATGAGTTCAGGCCTAGCCTGGGTAACCATGGGCAACGTAGTGACTTAACAAGACCCTGTTTATAAAAAAAAGTTGGATTTTCATATTTGCTTCTGCATTTAATCTGTTAGCACAACATAGGTAATGTAGCATCTGCAAAACCATACTATATATCAATAGAGAATGTGAATGAAAAAAGCAAATAAGATGTTAGTATTATTATAAAAATGATTTTGAACCTGCAGATCTCCGGAAAGGGCCTCAAGGTCACAACTTGTGTACTGCTGATATAGTTCTACACAATTAACGATTTGAAAACATACTGTATTAAGTGAAAAAAATTTAATCACAAAAAAAGCATATGATAACTTTAGATCAAATTTAAAAGCCAACTCCAGTAGTATATTGATTAATAGATTTTCCCAAGGACAGGAGAAATTGTGACTTACATGGGCCATGGCTTTTGGAATTATTTGACTTCTATCTTTTTTCTGACTTCTTCACTTGGACATGTGCAGGGATCTGACAAAAGCAAAACAGGCAAAGGATAAATGTCTGATAAACTGAACTTCCTTCAGTGCTCCCAAGTACTCTATTAAAGCCTTGAGCCCTATATGGACTCACCAGAGAGAAGAAAACCACAGTAATACAGGCATCTTCCATGCATACTGGCACATCCAGACAAGTGTAAGTACACTACCACTTGTACTGTTTCTGCTTTGCTTGCCCTCCTATTGTCCTACCACACAAACAAGAATATTAACAACCAGACTTAATGAAACCCAGCCTCTTATTAAACACTAGGGGATCCAAAAGCAGCAAGATGATTTCCAGGCGGATGTGCCCCACCACTGACATGGAACCCAAGAACATTAGAAGGTTGGGTTATGGCTGAGACAGCTTCCCAACTTTTTTGTGCTATCAAGATTGAACTCACACTAGGCAATCGCCTTATCATTGAGCAATATGGTCATCCCTACAGATGTATGTACCTGTATCTATGTATCCATCTATCTATTTATCCTGTAATCCTAACACTTGGGAAGCTAAGCCAGGAGGATTGCCACCAGTTCCAGGCTGGCCTGGGCTACAAAGTGAACTGCATAGCAAAACCCTGTCTCAAAAAGACCACACACAAAAAAAGTATATGTCGTATTTGCGGGGCAGAAAATAATTCAGAATGCCTTGTGTAGTTGAGTGCAAGGCTTAGACCACTGCTATCCAAAAGAACTCTCCACCAACAGTAGAAATCTTTACCACTGAGCTATAAATATAGGAGTCACTAACCCCATGTGAGTTACTAAGAATTTATAATGTGGTTAGTTTGATTAAAGAACTGAACTTTTTATTAATTTTAATGTAATTAGCTATAGAATCCAGAGGCAGACAATGCTAGGTTGACTTTAGGGTTTGGGAAACACAGACACATGAATGAAGTAACTATGAAGGCAAGGACCAGTGGGCCTCAGTATCACTGTATTTTGCATATAACGTAAGAAAAAGTTCAGCTGGGGATATAGCTCAGCAGCACAGTATCTGCCTGGCAAGTGCAAGGTTGTGAGTTCAATTCCTGGTACCAAAAAGAAAAAAAAAATAGTTTAGGCTGAGGCCCTTGGACAAAACAACAAAGTCAGAGGGAGCTGTAGAAATAGCGGGACAAAGCTATTTCTACTGTATATGTCTCAAAGGAATTTTTCTCAAACCCCCAATGTCAGATGAAAGGCAGAGTATAACAAGGTGATGTGGGGTATTTAGCTCAGTGGTAGAAGTGCCCGCCAGACAAGTGCAAGGTCATGAGTTCAATCTCTGGCACCAAAAAAAAAAAAAAAAAAAAAAGGAACGAGGATATGTTGACCCCACAAAACTATGTTCTTTTAGCTCTCTAACATCAGAACATTGTGCAAAGCCTTTAAGCAAAGTTTAGCTATCTATACAACCACCTAGTAAACCTCAAAACTACATCAATAAGTTTTCTCCGTTTCTGAATTCATATTCTTTATAGCCCACAGGTTCCCACTACATATGGCCTGGGTTGACGGGATGAGAAAAGTTGGCTAAGTCATGAGAACTGGGAGAGACACAAGCAGCTCCATTTTAACATTAGTAGTAGTTTTCTGAGAAGGTAATCATTCTGAGTAAAAACCCTAACCAAGAGCCTTTACTAATATTTAAAATGTAAAAGAATATAATGCATCATATTTCAATACAAAGTTCCCAAGTGATTTATAAAGCAATCAATAAAACATCTACAAATAGTGGTGCACACCTGTAATTCGAGCACTTTTAGAGGCTGAGACAGGAGGATCACAAGTTTGTGCTCAGCCTGAGCAACTGAGAATGAAAAGTTTTGAAACATATATTCTTATCAGTAAATAATTATTATGATTATTAACAACTAGTGTCTTTATTTATAATAATTTGGCCTCACTAGGTGGGGCGGTGCAGGCTTATAATCCTAGTACTCAAGAGGCTGAGACAGGAGGATTACCACAAATTCACAGCTAGCCTCATTGTGAAGACCAGGCTGATTTATAATTTAAAGCAATCTTCCTGTTTCAGACTTCAAAATCTTGGTATTACAGGTGTGCACCACCACACCTGGCCCTCAAAAAATTTTTTCTTAAAGGGCTGGGAATACAGCTAAGTGCAAAGGCTCTGGCTTCAATCCCAAATACTTAGGAGAAAAAAAGAGCATGGGATATAATGTCACAATAATGATGAACTTCAGCCAGTCACAAAAGGACAAATATGATTTTACCTATGTGAGGGACCTAGAGTAATCAAATTCACAGAGAAAGAATGGTGGTTGCCAGCAGCTATAGGGAGAGAGCATTGGGGAATTACTGTTTAATGCAGTTTCAGTTTTGGAAGATGAAAAAAATTCTGGAGATGGAGGATAGAGACAGCTGCACAATAATGTGAATGCACTTAATGCCACTGAAGTGTGCAATTAAAAATAGTCAAAATGGTAAATTTTGTGTGTAATAATACACTTTTCCACAGTTCTTTTTTATTTTTTTGGTACCGGGGATCAAACTCACGATCTCATGCTTGCCAGGCTGGTGCTTATGCCACTGAGCTAAATCCCCAGCTGTCACAATTCTTAAATGAGCAAAGAATTTGAACAGTCATTTCTTCAAAGAAGATATACAAATAGCCAATAAGCACAAGAAAAAATGTTCAGTATCACTAATCATTAGAGAAATGCCATTTGACATTCATTAGGTGGCTATTAATAAAAAATCAAAATAACAAGCATTGCCATGGATGTGGAAAACTTAAAACCTTTGTACATTCCTGGTGGGAAGATAAGAGGGAATAGTTGGTATGAAGAACACTTCATTGGTTTCTTTTTTCTTTTCTCTTTTTGAGACAAGATTTGCTATGCAGTTCAGGCTGGCCTTGAACTCATTTACGTAACCCAAACTGTCTCTGAATTTGCAGAGCTGCTGCTGCTTCAGCCTCCAAAGTGCTAGGATTAGAAGGGTGTGCCAACCAAGCCTGGCTAGTGATTTCTTAAGAATTTAAAAGATTTGTGTGTGTGTGTGTGGGGGGGTTGTAACTGGGACCCAAACGCACTATCCCATGACCTTGAACTCATGACCTCATGCTTGCCAGGCAGGCACTGTGCTGCTGACCTATATCCTCAGTCCAAAAATTTAAAAGATTTTAGAAATTCTGTAAATGAATAGTGATAATGGTAGCACAGCACTGTGAATGTACTTGATGCCACTGTACACTTAAAAATGGTTAACATGGCTGGGGCATGGTGGCACATACCTGTAATCCCAGCACTTGGAAGGCTGGGAAGGCGGATTTCATGACTTTGAGGCCAACTTGGGTTACATAGTGAATTCAATAGCAGCCTAAACACAGTGAGACCTTGTCTAAAACAAAACAAAACAAAAAAGATTAAAATGGTGAATTTGGCCCAGTGATATAGCTCAGTGGCACAGCGATTGCCTGGCAAGCATGATCTCATGAGTTTGATCCCCGGCTCTAATCTCATGAGTTTGATCCCTGGCTCTAATCAATCAATCAAATGGTAAATTTTATGTTATGTATATTTAACCATGCAACAAAAACCTGCCTAATTGCAAGATCACCATAAAGCATTGAGGTCATGAGCTGGGCGTGGTGTGCATGCCTGTAATTCCAGCACTTGGGAGGTAGAGGCAGGAGGATCCTTGCAAATTTGAAACCAGCCTGAGCTCAAGGCCAGACCAAAGTGCATAGCAGAGACCCCACCACACACACACAAAAAAAACCAGAAACAAAAAACAAAACTGGGGTCATTACTATTCAAGGGCAGAATGTGTAACTTCACTCTGAATTGCAGAACTTTACAGTTTCTGTAGGGGTCTGAGTATGGGAATCATAGACCCTTACATATCCTTTCCGGAGACACACAAGAATACAACCACACAGCCACAGACAACTCTATGCCACTATAGACAGTCACAACCACACAATAAGAAGCCACACAGTCACACAATCCTCTTACCATCGTGTCACACGATCACTTCCCCTACAGTCACAGGCTCTCCATACCAAGACTCCAAAATGCCCTACACAGTTAAAATCACACACCCACACTGGGGGTGCCAACAGTTACAGTAGCAAAGACACTAAACGCCTGTATACACAGGAGCACACATTATCCCACAGTCATTATCTTTTCCCTTTCCAAGGGACATCACAGGAATACGCATACAGTGTCACGACAGTCACACGCACATCACAACTGCACACAGTATCACACATGGCCACGGTATTACACAACTCAGACAGACCACCCGAACGGGTCACAAAGTCACAACTACATTCATTCCCAGGAACAATAAGGACTGGCACATGTACACAACAGAGGCACAGATGATATCACCTCCACAAGCACAGCTTACAGTATTATACAAGGTTTACACAAAACAACCGTATACCCTGGAGACAAGTGATTACAATTGCACGCTCACAGGTATCCACACCCCATTACAGAGCCACAACCAAGTACACTTTCAAAATCTCGCAGCCTTGGCGGCTCCAGCCAGCTAGGGACACGCCCTGTCTCCGCCCCGGATTCTCAAACCCCCTCACCTTCTGCCTCCTTTAGTAGCCTAAGGGTCCTTGTGGAGCTACTGTTCTCGCCACGACGTCTGGAGCTGTAACGTCGGGCCGCTATGAACTCTGGGAGACGTAGTTCAAAGCCAAGTAGTCGGACAAGATGGCTGAGTCCGAGATTGGCCTGTTTTGAGATCGCACCAGGGAGGTATTGAAGAGGAAGTCCTCGCTCCAAATAACCTAACAGTTTAAGTTTACTTGAGTCCAATAAGGACCACTCACAGCAAGACCCACAAATTCACAGGAGGAAGCTACCTAGTTTGCGTGGGGGGAGATATAACTGTCCGCGGTGCCTGAAGGGAAATGTAGTCCAAGGTAAGAAAAGCGGCGTTGCGGGTACTGTAGCGGGTAACACGTCTAGGCTGGTCAGGGCGAACGTGCTGGGCCGTGTCGCGGAGACTTCTGGGACTGCTCGCTCTCCCTCATAGTGCGCAGGCGCAACGCGCGGAGTGGACATTTTGGTCTTTGTCCGCGGGTCGGTACGGCCTCTAGGTACACGTGGCGCGAAAGTAGGAGGTGGGATCTGGGTGTCTTGGGTCTGTCGGGCTGGGGAGGTTGAAGGGGAGGATTCTTAATTTGTAGGGACGCGGCGCGCGTGTGGGGAGTGGGTTTAAAAACGTCTGGCCTACGAATGGGGCGGAGGTGGGGGTCTGAGGAGGCTTGAGCGTGAGTGACCCTGACTTTGACCGTAAAGTTTGATCTGTTCTTTGGAATTGTTGAGCGAATGTGAAACTGTCTTAAGATTATGTGTGGTTGCACCTAAGAAGAAGACGTGGAGACCCAACATTGAGGTACCGTATGAGTCTCGTTTCCCTTGGCGAAAGTGCTGGTAATTATAACGGTGCCATCTTCTAGAGTATTTTACTTGGAAAATCCGAAACGGGTAAAAAGCAAGTATTGAATAAGTTTAAAACAATGTTTTTAAATGGTAAAATCCCCTTCTTCTTTTATTGAGTTAGAGTGCAAGTCACTTTGATTTAATATTTTTAAAGCAGTATTTCAAAGGTATTTTTTGTTATGTGATATCTGCTTCCTGTTTTAAACCCTCAAATCTTTAGTTAAAAAAAGAGCTGCTAGGCAAATTCCCGTAGTAAATAGCTTTTCTTTTTGAGAAGCAGTATCCCTGGATTAGAGCCAGGGACTGTGGGTTAGAAATCGTTAACCTCATTTTTTTTTTTTTTTTAAGAAAACTTCGTTGGTGACAGCTTTTATCTATGGTTCTGGACTAAAAGTCCAAACACCTTAATAAATGGAGGTATTCTTGGTATGTGAATTTTGTAACATAATGGAGAGAACTTTGTTTGGATGGTTTTTCTAAAGACATCACCTGCAGTCCTGTTTCCGCAAAGCTTTGCATAATAAAGAGTTAAATAGTTGGTACTAAGTTAAGATCTACAAATCAATAGCCTCAAATTGACAAGCAGCAAGCAGTTAACATGATAAAATTGAAGAAAAGTACTATCTACAATAGCATTAAAAAGATGCAAATTTAAGAAATGTGTAAAATTATTCTAGAAAAATCTTTAAAATACTAAGTGGTATAAATTTAAATAGAAATACTATGGTACATAAAGAATTGTACCAGAGAATTAATTTATTAATGTGATGCTTTGAAAGGGGAACTACATAAGCTGATTTTACTAACACGGAAAAAGACAAGCAGCTATAGGCAGTGAACATACAAAAAAGGAAGTAATCGGTGTCTCAGTTCTCCAACACTTTGTGATGATGCACACTTGTAATCACAGCACTGAAGAGACTGAGGCAGAATGGTCGCCAGAAGTTCAGGTCAGCCTGAGCTACATAGAGACTCGTCTCAAAAAGCGAAAAGAAGAAAATAAATACAAAACCTCAAAAAGTAAAATACTATCGTTATTGGCTGGGGGAAGCTTATGAAGGGAAAGGTAACACAGTATCCATGATAATCACAGTTACTTTAACTCACATTTTTAAAACTACAAATGTATCTACATATACTGAATCAGTATAGTACAAGATTGCTTTTCGTAGCAATATTTGGCATAGAAAAATACTGAAACTGAGTTTGTGGTGCAGGCTTGTAATCCTAGCCACATGAGAGGCAATAACAGTATGGCAAGTTTGAGGCTGGTTTGGTAATTTAGTGACACCCTGTCTAAAAATAAAATTAAAAACAGGGGCTTGGTATGGTGAGGCAGGATTGCCAAGCTTTTGAGATTGCCTTGTGTTTGAGACGAACCTGGAAAACATAGTTCAGGGCCAGTCTGAGTTACATAGCAAGACCTTGTCTCAACAGAACAACAAAAAGAAATTAAAAAAACAACAAAGGTCTGGGAATGTAGCTTTAATGATTGAGTAAACCCGGAGCCCTGGGTTCAATCCCCAGCACCAAACAGGAAAACAAAACAAAAAACCCGAATAAGTTCATGTCTGTCAGTAATAGATGGCTTCAATACGCTCTGCGTATAGCTATGTAGTATAGCAATATACAGCTGTAGAGTGTGTTTTGTCTATTTTCTTAGTTCTTTATTGTGCCTTGTAATTAAAACTTTGAGACACATGTTAGTATCAATGCTTATTTTTTGTAGTAGAGAAAGAATAGTTACCAAAATAATACTGTTTTGATAGTAGAAACCATAAACACACTATATCATGTTTAAATTTTCTTTAACATATTTAGTATGTTTAACTTTTGTGTGTGTGTGTGTGTGTGTGTGTGTGTGTTTGATACAAGGTCCCTATCCTATGCAGTTCAGGCTGGCCTTGGACTCACTTTATAGCCCAGACTGGTCTGGAACTCAAAATAATCCTCCTGCCTCAGCGGCCCCCCCGTGTGCTGGGATTACAGCAATGCCCCACCACGCCCAGCGGTTTAACTTTTTTTATCTTTGCATCTCACTAAAGATATATATCAAAGTTCTTTGTTCTAAGGTCACTTGTAATACATTTTTTATATCAGAATTATGTGATCAAGTTATTTAAATTAAGGGGACACTTTGTTGGGATCGAACCCAGAGCTTTTGCACTGTGCCATATATATCCTCAGCTGTTTTTTACTTTTTTTAATTTTTAGACAGGATCTCACTTAAATTGAGCCAAGGCTGGATTTAAAATTGCAGTGTGCTTGTCTCGCCTTCCAGAGTGCTGGCATTACAGGCATGTGCCACACCTGACAAGGCACTATTTCTTTAAAAATGAATTTGAGTACTTATTTTTTTTTTTTTTTTGGTCTTTTTCGTTTTTTATCGGTACCAGGGATCGAACTCAAGACTACCTGCTTGCAAGGCAGACACTTACACCGCTGAGCTAAATCCCCCGCCCCTGAATTTGACTACTTTTTAAAAGCAAGTAATGTAAAATACATCTTACAGAAATACCTCATTCTGCCTTTCTCTTGCAATCATTTTTTGTACCATATAAGTACAGTTTATTGGGGTTTTTTATTTCTTGTTTACCCATTAGGTGTTTGGTTGGCCACTGGTATCTATTTACTATACTTCTTCTTTGCACCTTTATGTAAAAAAGGTGCAAAGAAGTAGTATAGTTTACTTTCTTCACTAAACATTTGTGTCCTGAGGACATCCCTTGTGAGCTTTTTATTTTTTTAATTGTAGTGAGAGCCATTGTGTTAGATGTACTATAGTTCCCCTGTTGAATGTTTGGGTTGTTTCCAATCTTTAGCTGTCATTGAAAATGCATGCTGGGTTCTGAGGAGTTCCCTCTAAAAGAAAGTGGATACCTCAACTCAGCCCATTGAATAGAGTCTTAACTATTCTACACAAAAGAATTTTAGGATTCCTCACTTGAAGTACACACTGAGAAAATAGATTGTTTGCCATCAAGAGGATCTTTTTGATTTCGAGCAGGGAATCTGTCGGAAATAGGGAATGTGAATTTATAGAGTGGGAGGACTCAATTTGCAAGTGAAAGACCATGTCCATTTACAGAAGAAAAAGCAGTTAAGATGGGTGACTAAAAAGTTTTCCTTAAAAATGTTCTTTAAACTCCTTGAATCTGATTCTCTGTTGGTTGCTGCCCTCTACCTTATCAGTAAGTTAATTTATGGATTTAATTGTATCTTTAAGGCCTGGGGATTTAGTTCAGGGGCATCAAGTGCCTGCCTAGCGAGCACATGGTCTTGTTCAATTCCCGGTACCAAACAAAAAAAGCCCTATATCATATCCTTAAAAGTGCTGTGAGCCCAGAGTAGAGATAATGGATAGTATTCAGTAATTTTGTGTCCTGAAGTTACAGTATTTTTAGAACACACTTTTGGAATTATAGTTTACCTCATCTCCTTTCTGCCTACCTCCTTATTGAATAATTTACCTGTGACATTTTGTACTTAAGCAGGAGTATCTCTAAAATAGATTTCTCCCAAGTGGAATTACCCACTGGGTAAGTACATAACACTCCCACTAGCAATATGCATTAGTTCCTTTCCCCCATAACATTAGCATTAGAATGTAGTGTTGAATATTTGGATTTTTCTCTTTTTAGTTTTCTTTTTGAGGCAGTCTGGCTTGACAGTTTAGACTGACCTTGAACTCACTTTCATAGCCCAGGCTGGCCTCAAACTCAGTGGTCCTCTTACTTTAGCCTCCCGAGTGTGGGTTAATTTTTTTTTACCAAAGGCATAAATAAGAATATGAGTGTAGGTTTAATTCATAACGCAAGGGTCATGTATGTTGTCTGAGAACTGTGTTTTCTGCTTTCTATAGTATCTTCTGGGAATTGTCATGTTTTAAAAGACAGTGTATGTAAAATAAGCTGCACAACTCCCCTCCACACCCCAGATTTTTGTGTTTCAAAATTTTTATAGTTCTCTAAGCCATGTAGAATCAGGAAGGGTGTTTTTTTTGTTTTGTTTTGTTTTACATTATCCCTTTTTTTATTAAGAGAAATTTATGTGAGAGTAGACAGTTTTCATTGTTTTTTCCTTTTTCTTCTCCCCTCCCCCCTCCTCCCTTGTTCTCCTTCCTATTGGAACATTTTTTTTCCTATGTCACAATACCTATGATTTTGGTCCTTAGAATTTAGGTTTCTCGCACCTGAGAAACAATGCAGTATTATTTCACTTAAGAGAATAGTCTCAAGGTGCATCCATTTACCTAGAAATGTCTTGAGCGAATCCTTATTTACAGCAGAGTAGTACTGCATTGTTAAAAAAACACATCTTTATGCATTAACCAGTTAATGAGCATTTTGGGCTGTTTTCAAGATTTGACTGTTGCAAACTATCACTATAACTAAGACTGCATATTTATCCCTGTGATATGATGCTTTTAATTCTTTTGGGAAGATACCAAGAAGGGCATAGCTGGGTCAAATGAAATGTCTAGTCCTAGTTTTTTGAAGAATCTCCACACTGATTTCCACAGTGGTTACACCAGTGTATACTCCAACCAGCATTTGATACAGGCTTTATTTTTCTTTCTTCCTTCCTTCCTTTCCTTTTATTTTCTTCTTTTATTTCTTCCCCCTTTTATTCATTCATTCATTCTGCAGTGTTGTGGATGGAACATGGGGCCTTACACTAGGAAGTACTGTGTTAAATCTCCAGACCAGGTTTCATATTTGGATATATATATATATATATATATATATATATATTTTTTTTTTTTTTTTTTTTTAAAACCAGTACCAGGGATCAAACTCATGACTGTGTGCTTGCAAAGCAGGCACTTATGCCGTGGAGCTAAATCCCCAGCCCTTGAATTTATATTTTTGATTGAAAGAGTAATTCCAGTGCTCCAGAGGCTGAGGTAGAAGGATTGCCACAAGTTCAAGGCCTATCTAGTGATTTTATAGTGATTTCAAAGCCAGTCTGAACTGTGAGAGACTGTCTTAAAAATTAAAAAAAAAAAAAATAGTTGTCTCTTTTCTCATGGTTACCTCGTTCTTTCAACACCATTTTTTAAAGGTTTTTACCTTTAGCATTTTAAGGTGAAAGAGTTTTACCTTTATATTTTAAGATGTAGATTTTTGTACTTATTTAGTCTGGTTATCTGTTTTTGAGCTGGCATTTTATCTTTTTTTCTTTTTTGTCTTTTTCTTTTTTATCGGTACTGGAGATTGAACTCACGACTGCCTGCTTGCAAGTCAGGCGCTTATGCCGCTGAGCTAAATCCCCAGGCCCTTCATATTTATCTTTTAATTGAACCTTTATAGTTATGTTTTTTAATATCTGGTATAACTGATTTTACTGCTTATTCTCAGTTTTCTTGGCTAGTCTTACTTTTTGGACTGGAGATGAACCTAGATCTTTCACACTGAAGTATCCCCAGATTTTAAACCCTAAGTTGTTTAGCCAGAGTAGGCTCCAGCTTGCTATCTTTCTGTTTCAGGAAGCAGTGTAGGATTAATAGGTATGTGCTATCAGGCCTGGCTTTACATTTTCCTATGTAAACTTTAGGATCAGTTTATCTGGTTCCAGAAAACAAAAACTTTCTATTGAAATTATATTAAACTTATAAAATAATTTAGAGGAGAGGAACATCTTTGTATTCCTACCCATGTATATAATACATATTTTATCTTAGTTTTTTATTTTGAGGTAGCATCTCACTATGTTGCCTAGGTTGGGCTTGAACTCAGTGTCCTCTTACCTCAGCCTCCCTAGTGGCAGGAATAACATTTGATTCAGATTTCCTTCTGATTCCTCTGGAGAATTAGATTTGCTTCAAACAGGTTTTAAATATTTCTTACGAATTCTTTATTCCCAGTTTAACTTTGAGTTAGCATTTGTAATTCTTTTTTTTTTTTTTTTTTTTATCGGTACCAGGGATCGAACTCATGACTGCCTGCTTGCAAGGCAGGTGTTTATGCCGCTGAGCTAAATCCCCAGCCCCAGCATTTGTAATTCTTGTAAATGATAAGCAGGGGTCATCCCTGTATTTTGACTAATGGAGATGCTTTCATTGTTTGGATATTCCATAAAATGCTGGCTTTTTGGTCAGATGCATAATTATGATAACCCACGTAGATATAGGTTGTCCATGCTGGCTGAGTCTGTGGTGCTAATAGAAGCAAAAAGCTTCAAGACTTTCTATGCCCCAGATGCACACCAGAAGAGATGGTTGTACACACTTGTAATCTCAGCCCTCTGGAGACAGGCAGGCAGACTGCCACAAATTCATAGACAACCAGAATTTACATAGACCCTGTCTCAACTCCCACTTCCCCAATTTAACTGGGATAAAAATAAGGTGCTGGATAAGACATCCATTCTTGCTCTTCTTCCTTTTAGGCAACCAAATTACTTAATTTCTGTTTCTCTTTAAGTTCTTTTCATTCCTTATCTTAAAAGTGTTGTTTTAAATTGATTTTTGTTAGGCTGTTTGTTTTCAGCTGCTTTGTGGTGGTATTTTTCAAATAACTGTTGAGAAACTACATTGCCCATTTTCTTTTTATTTATTTATTTATTTATTTATTTATTTTTAAGACTAGTCAAGTACAGTAGTGAGAAGGGGGAAAGAGTAGAACAAGGAGTTCAATCTGTACTGACTGTGAACAATCAATTGAGATAACTCACTACCTTCGGACCAGCCTACATTGCCCATTTTCATTGTTTTTTGTATAGTATCATATATGACAAATTATTAGTGTTATATTTGTATGAGACTGGAGTTCCAGTGTCACAGTTGATCAGCATGCAGTACTTACGTGTTTGTATGAGAATGGTTTTCCTAGTAGCATTCTGCATGTCATATCTCACGTGCCTCCTCTAGAGTTCCAGCAAAGGACTCGTCCTGTGATTTCTAACCTAAATTTTTTACCATACTTACCATGTAGAACATGTTCACTTCTAGAAGTTGCTAAATTTGGTTTCTCTGGAGCCTATTCCCAAGTACTTGTCAAGCCATACTTTTCCCAGTCTGCCCCCCCCCTTTTTCATGTCTTTAGTTTTATTGTATTATTAGACTTGGTTGCAATTTTCCGAAAGGGCTTAATTCTAGAAGATAGGCATTTGTTGCTTTGGTCAAAGATATATGAATAAGGGCTATAGTAAAAATCAATAGGACAAAACCAGAAACCTAGGCAGGAGTGTGGCACTAGAGAAAAATTGCAACCTGTCATGTGAAGCATGAGTAGATTTTTCTATTTAAGTAAAATTCTGGGAGCTAATACTCTTTCCATATTTCTGATTGTATGGAGACTTTAAATGACTCAGTGTGGGACTCAGCCAGGAGTGGGGCACACTTGTAATCCCAGCCTTCAGGAGGCTAAGGTGGGAGGATTGCCATGAGTTGTAGAGGAGCCTGGGCTACATTGTAAGTTCTAGGCAAGCCTAAATTATACAGAGACCCCTTGCCTCAACAACATTAAAATTTAGGAATCAAAAAGCCCTAGGTATCCAGATTGAGGTGGCACACACCTGTGATCCTAGCATGTGGTAGGCTGAGGCAAGAGGATCACCATGAGTTCTCAGCCAGGCAGTAAGACCCTGTCTCAAAAAAAAAAAAAAAATGTTCAAAGTCTTTTGCCTATATACTTGCGTGCTTTAATCACAAGATTTAAAAAAATTGGTTTTTCTTTTTCACAGGCCACTTCTTTGTGCATCTCTGGAAAGTATATCTTTCTCATCTTTCAGAAGACCCAGGGGCCCCAGAGGGCTCATCCTGAGTTCTAAAATACTTTGGTCACAGCAGTAACAGTTTAGTGCTGTGTCATTTACCCCAGTAGGAGGTTTTAAAGAGACCAAACTGGATATGTTCTTACATTGAAGAAGCCAAACTGGATGGTAAAGAAAGAAGTGGAAAAAGGTCTGTCTAGGTGAGTAAACGACAACTAGGCTTGTGTAGATGTTCAGTTGTGATATCTCTAAACTAATTTTGGGGACATTGCCTTATAGGCCCTAGTCTTTTCACTTGGTATGAATTTCACAGATATCCCGGTGACAGTTCCAGACATGATTTATTTCTGTTACAATACTCTACACATTTTAGTTTTATTTTATTTTATTTTTTTTACATTTTTTTTTTTTTTTCCTTTTTATCGGTACCGGGGATCGAACTCAACGACTGCCTGCTTGCAAGGCAGGTGCCTATGCCGCTGAGCTAAATCCCCAGCCTCCATTTTAGTATTTTTTAATACTGGAGATTGGATCTAGTGAAGGCTAAGCTTTTTTTTCCCCTTTATTCATACAGCAAGACTTACTGAGGGCCTACTAGGTATCTGTTGCTGTGCCAGCCACCAGCTTAGACCCGTACTCCTGCCCTCAGTTGCTCTTATGAGCTAAGCTTTATACATCGCCAGCTCTTTGCCCTTTAAGTTTTTGTGTGTTTTGGAAGTATTTGGAGCTTCTTTTTGGTGGGGGACAGGGTCTCCCTTTTTAGATCAGGCTGGCCTCAAACTCACTGTGATCCTTCTGTCTCAGCCTCCTGGGTGCTATTATACGGCCATATACTACCACGCTCAGCTCTTTGCCCTTTGAGACAGAGTTACTAAATTGCCCATGCACTAGTTGAAAACTTCTAGCCTCCCGAGCAGCTGGAATTACAGACTTGAGCCACTACCCTCAGGAAGTACTTACTTGGTTTTTGGTCCTGGGAATAGAACTCAGAACCTTGCACTTGCCAGGCAAATGCCTGTGCCACTGAGCTGTATCCCTAGCCTCTATATTGTGCTTCTTTCATCTGATTCTGAAGGGTTATGTATCCCTGTCATCTGTATCTTGATGTTAACACTTTGTACTTTATTTTTACTACTCTTTTGATTGTTTTCCTTCTGTTTCATATCCAGTTTCATGTCTCCTTATGTATAGTCTCTTTTCCTCATGTGTTATCTTTTATAGGTCTTAAATCTTTTCATACCATCTGATACTTAGATTCCTTTGTATTACTTGGTACCTGGCCTCATTCTTTGAGTGGTTAAGGCCCTCAGAATTATATTTCATGTTTGCATACTTACCTACCTCCCCTTTTGATCAGCAAATCTACCATTTTTCATTTCCTTCTTTCACTGGTGCCTTTTTGCTATTTTTGATGAATGATATGTTAGGAAAAAAGGAAGAAAAAACAAAGTTGTGAGCTCACCAGTCTGGACAGGTTTATTTAGAAGAAACCTGAGGAGGTCTCCCCTTCCACTTAGACCAGACCTATATGATCTCAGACCAAGCTTTATAGGGTCATGAGTGTAAAGTATGGCTGTGAGAGGAGGGGGAGAGTTTGGGGAAAAAGAGTTGTGGCTACCTGCCTGGGGACAGTGCTTGAGAAAGTATAGTGGTAGTTGCTTGTCAAGAGCAGGGCTTAAAGAGTGATGTGAGTTATGAGGTTAAATCATGGTCACTGGGCCTTATAAACCCATGATTATATATCTTTAGCAGATATAAAAGGATGGCGGGATGGAAAGAGACTTAACATTGATCTTGTCAACCTATGATGGTGGCAGTTGGATGCCTTCATTATATGAGTGTTTTTAATACCTTTGTTTTTTAGTGCATGACTTCATATATGACTTTTAACCTTTGTCCTGTGGTTCCTTTCCAATGGTAGTGACTCTGAAGAGTTTCTCACATATCCATCATTAGATGGTCTATATATAAACAAGCATATATTATGTATTTGCCACAAATATGCTATTTTTATATAAATCCTTCTTGCACATTTTCATACAAATAGTACTGTTGTTCTATTGTGTACTGTTCTATAGTGTATGTGACCTTTTTTCCCCCTAAAAATTCTCTTACCACATTATTAGACTTGTCTCCATGGACATTTAGGTAGTTTCTAGACTGGCAATTGGAGACGTAAGTGTGAATTGTTTTTTTTTTTTTGTTTTTTTTTTTTGTCTTTTTCCTTTTTATTGGTACCGGGGATCGAACTCATGACTGCCTGCTTGCAAGGCAGGCGCTTATGCCGCTGAGCTAAATCCCCAGCCCCGACTTCTTTTCTTTTTTTTTTTTTTTTTTTTTTTGTCTTTTTCCTTTTTATTGGTACCGGGGATCGAACTCATGACTGCCTGCTTGCAAGGCAGGCGCTTATGCCGCTGAGCTAAATCCCCAGCCCCCTGTGAATTCTTATTTATATTGATTTGTGGAGGTACACAGACAAGACTACATGATGATTTACTCGTAGAAAAAGTATGATTGAAACAGGGACATTGCTCTCAAAACTAACCAGTTTACATTTCTACCACTAGGTAAGTTACTGAGTGCTAGATTTTAGTTACTATTTTTTGTACTAAGTAAATGTCAGTGATTAAGATAGTCAAAAATTTCTCTCCTAAAAGCTATTGTCATTAGGGAATGGTGTAGATAATAAGTAACGTGTTTCATCAAGTAGTGACAGTGCTATGGGAAAAAAGCAAGAAAAACTGCTATACTGAGGACCATTTGGATGTACTGAGGACCTGGGTTAATTTAATTTTAATTTTTTTTTTTTTAATTGGGAGTCAGTACAGGGGATTGAACCCAGCGCCCAGCATCTTTTTTTTTTTTTTTTTTTTTTTGGTATCAGGGATCGAGCTTACAACTGAGCATTTGCAAGGCAGGTGCTTATGCTGCTGAGCTAAATACCCAGCAGCAGAAAACAGGGTCTTGATCATGCTTTACCACTATAACCTCATCCCCCAGGTTATGATTTTTTTTTTAATTGAACTCATGACTTCATGCTTGTCAAGCAGATGCTTATGCCACTGAGCTAAATCCCCAGCCCCTCCAGGTTATGATTTAAAGTAAGTTGGTCAAGGAATAATCTCTTCCAGAAAGCAATACTTGAAAAAAAGGTCTGAAGAGTAAGGGGGGACAAGTGCAGTTTTGGGGGGAAACTACCCAGAAGCATTAAAAAATATTAAAAACCTTTGTACTGGATGTAGTGGCACATGCCTGTAATCCCAGCACTTGGGAGGCTGAGGCAGGAGTATCAGTGTGAATTCGAGACCAGCCTAGGCTACAAAGTGAGCTCAAGGCCAACCTGAACTGCATAGAGATACCCTGTCTCAAAAAGAAAAAAAAAAAGGCCAACCTGAACTATATAGTAAAACCCTTTTCTCAAAACCTGTTATTTTGATAGCTTATTATGCATAATTCATAAAGTATAATGGGCACATCTATATAGGAAAAACATTGTATAGGGTTTGAATCTTATCTCCTGAAGATGTGAGACTGCTGCAGTCTCTTTCCCAAATTAGAAATCTTACCAGGTGTGATGGCACATGTCTTATAGTCCCACCACTTTGGGAGAGTGAGGCAGGAGTATCACCATGAGTTTGAGGCAAACCTGACCTACACAATAAAACCCTGTCTTTAAAAAACAAAACAAAGGGGCTGGGGATTTAGCTCAGCAGCATAAGTACCTGCCTTGCAAGCAGGCAGTCGTGAGTTCGATCCCTGGTACCAATAAAGATGAAAAAAAGACAAAAACAAAACAAACAAAATACCCCGGATTAGAGGTTTCATCCCTTTGTTCCCAGATCCAGAGAGCACATGAACCAGTTTTAGGATATATCTAAGCTATTTCTTTTCTCATGGTACTATGATTACTGTCAAACATTTAAAAAGATTTTACTCTACTCCCAAGACTGTATGGCTGGGGATATAGCTCAGAGGCACAGTGCCTGCCTGGCAAGCATGAGCTCCTGAGTTTGATCCCCAGTTCAAAAAAAAGACTATAAAACATGCAGATATAAATGTGGATATTTTTCTTCTGTGTGTGTGTGTGTGTGTGTGTGTGTGTGTTGGGTAGTGTTCTGTCAGTTGAACACAAGGCTTATTTTCTTGTGGAGCTGCATCTCAAGCACTTTTAATTTTAGGACAGGGACTTGCCCATTTCCCAAGCTGGGTTTAATCTCAGGATCCAGGCTGGCTGGGGTGGTACATGTCTGCATAGCAGTACTCGGGAAGCTGAGGAAGGCCCATTTCCTCGTCATGAATTTGAGGCCAACCTGGGCTATGGAGTGAGTTTAAGGCCAGCTGGAACTGCATAGCAAGACCTTGTCTCTAAACAGAAAATACTGTTAGGATGCTCCAGGAGTACTATACCACACCCATCCTAATACTTTCCTTTGATTATGAAGTGCTGTAATTCAGGTCTTGTTAATCATTTAAATTTGAATTGTTTGTTTGAGGCAAAAGGTCTCCCTATGTGGTTCAAGCTGCCCTTGAACTCATTACTTTAGCTCAGGGTGGCCTCCTCTCCAACAGCCTCCCAAGTGCTGGAATTACAGGTGTGTACCCCCATGCCCAGTTTATTTTTGGTGTTTTGAGACAAGGTCTTGCTTGTAGTGTAGACAGGTTTTGAAGTTGCTTATATAGCCTAGGCTGGCCATGGCAATCCTCCCTCAGCTTCCAGAGTGCTGTGATACAGGTGTGGGGTACCATGCCCTGAATTCACTTTTCATTAAAAGTGTTCTTGTTAATTTTACCTTTTTTTGATGTCTAGAATCTATGCTATAACCTTTTAAAGGGAAGATTTATATTTTATTTTTGTAGTTTTTTGTGTAGACAATCTATTGTATGCTCTTAATCTATTACTATTACAGAAATAGTTCCTTTTTTATAGTACTAGGGATTGAACAGAAGGCCTCACATAGGATAAGTAAGCACTGTGCCACTGAACTATAGTCCTAGACATTTTAAAATATTGAGACAGGGTCTTGTTCAGCTACCTGGGCAGGACTAAAATTTATTCACCCACCAAGTGCTGGGATTATGGGCTCATGTTGCTGCACCTGTTTTTGGTTTCCAGTATTCAGTCAAGGTTTAGACTTTGCATATGCTTTTTGTCTTCTTTTGAATGTAAACTTTGTACTCTCCCTATCCTTGTGTTTCCCTC